AAAATATACTGTATTTTCTATTGCTATTTTACAAAAAATGTCCCGATGCAGATATTACGTACGATTTGCAACGAGATATAGTTGACAATCGAACTTAAAATAAAAAAATATTTTCTTGATTAATACAGTTTAAATCACTTTTTTCCATGTGTGAACTATGCGTAATAATTTACAATATTTGTTTCATCTTTTTTAGGCTTTAAATTTTGTTTGTAATCGTTTACGATTAGTTGATTCTGGTATTCATTTCAATTTAAGTGCAAGTATTTATTTATGTTTGGCTGAATTATGTTCAACATTACGTTTACACTGCCTAACAGAATTACCAAAATTTATGCCAGATGTATTGCAAACATACGAATCTAACGCTGTTATGAGGTTTGTTAATAAAACAGAATTAATATAAAAATGAAATCATTATTATTCTTTTGTTTTATGTAAGACATGAGTTATTGTTAACAAGTGTCATATCGTGTTTGTCAAAATTAGTTCGAACACTGTGTGACTTTTTAACACCCTATCTATTAGAAATCATTAAACGAGTAAGTATTATCTCTTATATACCTTATATTTTCTTGAAAAAAGTTTATTTAAACTCTATTTTATTATAGACATGTAATTTGTTAACACAACCGGCTTTAGTATTAGCAAGCGGAACGAATCAAAACGAATTACGTTTACGTACAATGTGGACATATATTGCCAATTTTGTTCCACATCGTTTATTGTTTCCAACGTTGCATGATTTTATTGAACAAGATAAATTCGTCCTAAATGATATTGAACCATTAATGACATTATTAAAGCAATCTATAGCAGTAGCATCTGTGGAAGATCTTAACATTAATTTTCAATTGTTAAAAAATTTATTTTTAAAATTATTTACATTGAGAACAATTCATACGAAACAGGTAATAATGTTTGATTTTTGATACAATTATTCATATAAATACTATGAATAATATATTTTTAGATTCATCCAAATAAAATGAATGATTATGAAGATCATGTATTCGATTGTTTTTCGGAACTCGTAATGCGCTTGTCAGAAGAGTCATTTCGACCACTATTTTTTACCATATATGAGTGGGCAGTATACAATGAACCACCACGTGAACATTCAGTGACATTCTACCGTTTAACATTGGTGTAAGTCTTTCTTAAAAATGTTACTTCGTCCCACATTTCTCTACTACTACTATTCAAATAGTAACAGTTTAATATTATTTAAATATTTTATTCTCTAACTAGACAATACTTTTTATATTAGCCATTTTGATGTTTTAGTTTAGCTAAAAAATTAAAAAGTTTATTTTCACTCTTTGCTGGCCATATTATTCAACATGCGGCTACAACATTAGATCTATTAAATTTATCAAAAAATGGTATATATTACCATCAGAGTTTAGATAAAAAATTCAACGATTTTTTCTTTAATGTTATAGAAAAACAAGACCAAAAGTATTTCTCAGATAATAAATTTGCTGATGATAATGCCATTGAATTAATTAATGGAATATTGGGTACTATTAGCAACATATGTCTGTTTGACTCTGTTGGTTTTATTAATAATGAACGGTTTCAATTATTAATGAGTCCAGTGGTTGATCAAGTATGAGGAAATAAAAATTAGCTGAATAAGATAAAAATATTTTGCAATTTTTGTAATAGCTTGAACAACATGTACCAACCACTGTAGATTATCAACAATGGATCGAACGACATGTATCACCTTGTATTGTTAACTTAACGGCAGCATCGAAAGAAGAGCCACTGTGGAGAAGATTACACTATCAATTGTTATTGAAAACGAAATCCGATAGTTCACAAGTAAAGACAATTTAACTGAGATAACAAATTATAGCATCTAACGATCTTCTCTTCTAGATCCGTTTGGCTACATTACATATCTTACAAGAATTATCTCGAAAACTAAGTGTCAATTATCAAAGTCTTTTAGCAGAAGCTGTGCCTTATTTAGCTGAGCTGATGGAAGGTAAATGTTCAATTATTTTACTATTACAAACAGATTTAATCTATCTTGGGTTATTTATTTTTAAGATTCTAATGAAAAAGTTGAAAACGCTTGTCATCGTGTCATTGTTGATATGGAAAGCACACTTGGTGAATCGTTGCAGCAATATTTTAATGCATAAGTATCCGTTTTAGTACCATTTAGGCTATTTGTTGTTGGATGATATGCATGTTTTGTTCATGCATATGTACCGTTGTTAAAATTTTTCTATTGTTTTGATACAATTTTTATTTGGACATTTTGTTACTAAAATAAATCTTGCTATTATTATAAGAGAATGTGACATGTCATTGTTTTTTAAGGCTATTCTAATTCCACAACTTGAAACTAAGCATATATTCTGTAATTCTTAGCGGAGCCAGTTTCCGCTAAAATCTGAGAGAGCAACAGTTTAGTAGCGATACATTATAATGACAGGACCCTATCAGATACAATTGTGCAATTTAACAGTTCATTTATTGATCGAACGTATATACGGTATTATACACCATGTTTAGTAGAATGGATTCGGCAATCAATAGACTGAACATATGAAGAGAGTACGTTTTTCTGTACTCTCTGTATATCTTCTAGTTAATCTTCGTATAAAGACCAACTGGAATTGAATGATAAATCTAAACCAAGAGAGCAATCTAGTCATGCGTTTTTCGAAATAGATGATCGGTCTGCAGCAATTACTTGCTTACGTAACAGGCGCACGGATGTTACTTTGCTCCCGTCAGTAACACATTTAGGTCTTAACCAAGAGATAACGATGAGTACTTTGATCATTAGTGGAATTTTTTTTAGAATCAATAATGACATAGTTAACTGAATTCGTTAAAGTAAATAACTTAGTTAAAGAAAAACTAAGAAGAAAGAGCAACAGTAACACAAGACCATGGTAAAAGTTAAATTTGTTTAAAATCAATTATGTGAACAAAGTCACACTGAGCTTCAGTTATAATTATTTATTATTGATGCAGAATGCAAAAAATGAGATTTAGTTTATAATGCAGAGGAGCCGCCCACAGCCGATTTCATCATAATAACACTTATCTAGAAGAAGAGATAGTGTGCTGAATCACGTTTTATGTCCTCACTGTAAAGCATGAACAGATAAGCGTTTATCGTTTGGTGCGTTGGTTAAGCTGATTAATAGAGAATCACAACATTGCAGTATACATCATAACTGTAATACTAATTATCTGTGTATTAATAAATTAATTCTTAATAAACCATTGAGTCAACAATTGGTCATATTCTACGTCAAAGAAATGCATTAGCAGATAGCTCGGTTTTTAGAGAATAGTAAAATTACACCGATTTAACTTGTTCAATAATAATAAATCACTTTTAAAAAAGATTAATTTAAAAATTTCAATAAAATACATCCGAACTCTATTTTAATTATTAATCAAATTGATCTGATTCATTAATTTAAACTATAAAATGTATAGAAAGTGACAAATTGTGTACTGAAAACTATACTCATATTTGTTTGAAAATATTCTATATAAATAATATGTTGTTTCATTTTTTATAAACAGGAACAGAGTATATCATTTTATAGCGGAAAGAATGATTAAAATTTTCGAAAAACAATATATTAGTTAAAGGAACATACAGTAAATTAATTTAGCATATTTTATATATGCTTTTAACTCTCAAATGTACATAATATCATTTAACGAAAAAAATTTTTTTTTTTGTAAAAAACCGCATACACAGGTATATCACAAACGCGTACACTTCACTTGAATTGACAAAACGTCAAGTGCTCACCTATAACAAGAGTTTTTCTTTCTCATCATGCATTCTTTTTTCTATTTCTCTCTCGGTGACATTTATACTTAACTAGAATTCAGAGAACAATAAATAAAATAAAATAGACAGGTAAGAATGAATTCAACTGATTTCAATTAAATTCTTTACACATACATATTACAAATTCATTAGACTTCTGAGTATTTGAATATTAGTCTATGATTCCTATTCTAAAAAATTTTTTTATAATTTTGTTAATAAGGATACTTTTTTTCAGTTATGAAAATTCATTTGACACAGTTGTAAATAAAACTTTAATAGCATTTTTTATTTTTTCTAATACCATTGAGTGAAACCACAAAAACAGCTTTCATATTCATACATTCTACAAAATAAGAATATTTTCATTGAAATCTAAATAGCAAAATAGAATATGTTACATTTTTTGTTGTTTTATACATATCTGTTGTATTTAAAAATTACTATCTTGCCAAAAATAATATATGAAATCAATAAATAGTTTATTATATTGCCATGTTACGAGAAAATAAAGTTCGTATTATTATTTTATGTGTTCATATTGATAAAAATTAATATGATACTGTTATATCTGAATTATTCAAAATTACAATTATGTTTAGAAGAATAGATATCTATCGTTCTAACTTATTCAATTGACACTTTATTAATGTAAAAACATTTTATTTCAGTAATCAAATTGACTCATATGTTTATACAATGAGCAATAAGTGAATAATGCATCAAAATAACAAAAACGAAACTAATGACATTGTCCTATTATATAATCAAATGAAAACATGAAGTGTTAACTGCTGTATATTAGAAGCTTATGTCTTATCAAAAACTGCTTGTATCGGTCACTTAGAATACATTTCTCAATCATGCACACACAATTTTTTACATGATTTTATTATTTCTCTCTTCTCCTTTTCTTTTTTTTCTTTCTTCTCTCGTCTGATAAATGTTTTGCACTCTGAAGAGCAGCATTGTCTTTAACTCAATTTTTTGTGAATTTTATTCGTAAATCCTTCATCTTATTTTTTCATCAAATTAAAAGCCTTATTCCTACTTTTTTATTTTTCATACTTTTAACATTTTTGTAATTTTCAATTTGACAAACAATAGAATGAGAGAGATCAATAATATTTTTCAACATCGACATCATAGGAAAGGCAACGACATGCCGATGGATAAAAAATTGTTCAAAAAAAAAAAATTTTTTTTTATTTTTGTTATTATCAAAACTCAAAAAAAAAAATTAGATAAATTTCAATACTTGAATCTCTCTGATAAATAATCGAACTTGTAAATCGTTTAAAGTCATTTTATCGGTGAAGTAATTGTTTTATGGCACAATATATCATCTAAATCTCTTTCGTAGATATTAATAATAAATAGTCGTCGAAACATGTGATTCATTGTTGAAGAAACAAATGGCTCAACCAATACGTTCAGAATCACCTCAAAAAAGTACATCAAAATCATTGCGAAGTCCACGATCAACTTCTGGTGGAAGGCCGTTAGAAGATAATATCACATCTTTACAAAGTAAGTATTTTTTTAATTAAAAAATTATCCATATAACTTTATTTTCTCTTCTCAATTATATTTCAAATGACAGAATCGTTAGTAATTAAAATTCGTATTACTCTATGATTGATACATTCAGTTGTTAGCTATTTATTACAGATTAGAAATAATAGCAAAGAAAGTTTTTAAATAAAGAATGATGACTGTAAAACCTTGACTGCTATACGACAATCTAACTAAAGTAAGAAGAA